GCTGAATCATCAGAGTACGTACAACATGTCTTATGCTATCAGATACAACATCTTACTAATGTTGTATGCAGTTCTGGATTGAATTTAGGTGCTTTAGATTCCGATTGTGAAGATGAAGATGAGGAGTTGGTTTTTGTGGATGAAGAAGATGTACCCGTCGACCCACCAGTCCCAGCTGAGATACCAGACATTGCAGAGACGATGGATAGCGCAGCGGAGGAAGAGGAGGTGGTTGCGGTGGGAGGTGAACTGGAAAGTGACGACGATGAAGCAGTTTGTGACTGGCCAGTGCTGGACTCTGAGGAATATCTGGACTTTGCAAAAGACAAACCCTCCTTAGCTAGAATGCGAAGGACTGGCTGGGAACTGGGTACGTTTGCTATCTATGCATTATGAGTGATACGTACTAATGCTACGATGCTGTGTGTTGTATTTCAGATCCGCAAAAGTTTCCGTCCGACCAAAGTTACCTTGGATTATACGACGGACCGTCCGGCCCTTCTCCAGAAGTGATACATTTTGCTGACTCCCCGTTGGACCTGTTTCTCTATTTTATGCCGAGGGAATTGTGGAAGAAAATAGCTGAAGAGTTTACTGTTTATCATGAACAAAATCTGGTGGCTCGAGTGGACAAAATGTACGCAAAACAAAAGGTGCCTGGAAAAAAGACGAAAGAGGATTTCATGGAGCGTGAGGCGAAACATGCAGACATCAAAGCTCATGAAATCGTGGTACTGTTGGGGCTTCTCATTGCCCGCATGACCAACCCCCAGCGGCGACACTTCTACGATCACTGGTCTACAACGTCGATTGGTGCGGTGGCCGCTGGTACTTTTGGGAAGTTCATGAGGCGTAATCGCTTCACCTACATCCTGTCCAATCTACACTTCACAAACAATGGCGACGCTCGTACAGGAACGGGTAGAGCGTGGAAGGTGCGCTCCGTTGTGGATACCCTTCAAACGAGTTTTGGAAATGGATACACAGCACCTCCGGTTCTTTCGTTTGATGAAGCCATGATTCCGCTGCCAAACCGCCACAATCATACACGCCAGTTTGTTGCCAACAAACCTCACCGTTGGGGCACGAAGATGTTCATGACGTGCTGCGCGAAGTCGTCCTATTGCTTGAGGTAAGCAGGTGATCATATGGGCTTGCTGAGCCCTTTTTTTGGTCCATGTCAACATGTTGTATACTAATATATATATATATGCTGTATCCGGCAACATGTTATGTTGTTGTATCTGGAATAGGCTCGAAATCTATTGTGGTGCCGAGCAGCACATTGACGAGATTGGAAACGTACCTCCATCTGTGCAGTCCGTCGACCTAAATACAGGGCCTGCAGCAGTGATGAGGAATTTGGAAGCGGTGCTTCCCCCTCAAAAAGCCGGTGTATTCTAT